GACAAATAGCATTTGGATATCCGTCTCCTGCAGAGGCTTCACACACATTACAATCCTATGTTTTCTCTGCTTTCAAGACTAAAATATCTGCGAAGTACGGACGCGTTAAGTGAGCGAACTGTTGCCAGCTCCTTCCGTTACAGACTGGCTCCCTGTTGCGTTATGGCGGGTTCGTGGTCCAGTAATTGTGTTGTGTAATTTTACATGGATTTGTTTGTTAATTGAGAGATATCTTGTATAATTATGGAAGTTTTCACAACATAAACGTTGAATAAAAGTTGTTTATCAGTGTATAAGCATTGGTAAACTGTCCAAATACAGTTTTTATCAGTGTAAACAGCAATAATTACTGTAATTTCACAGATAATGACTTTTATTACAGTTCTGAATTACTGTATTTCAGCAGATAAGTAAATGAAAGAGAAACTTTTACCATTCAGATTAAAATAAAGAAAAATCTATACATACATGTAAGCCTGTTATTTGTATTTTAGAGAGTTCACACGCAGCAAAGGGCGCAGGTCGGATTCGAACCCTGGGCTGCTGCAGCAAGGACTCAGCACATGGGTTGCCAGCTCTACCCACTGAGCTAACTGGGCACCCATTGCATTGGTTTTACAGTGTAAATATCTTTAATTAAACATTGAAATAAAAGCTAAAAATTTTATTTTAATTATAGTACTTTACTGTATTTTTAAGAGTCAGTTACTTTCTTCACTACTTTACTTGGTTAAGTCAGCGTCACTTAAAATTACTAAAGCTACTTGATCCAGAATGTTTTAACTTAAATTGAGTTAGTTAACTTAGTAAACTCATTTTCAACAATCTTTTTTAGTTAAATAAACTCTTTTAGTTAGCAGCAGCAAGCGATTGGACATCCAGCGGCGGACAAACGTGGACTCACACTCCGCTTTGGCACAGACGAGGCTCGCCGTCGGGTAGCCGAAGGAGCGCAGGATGGACCCGATGGCCAGGCTCAGGTCCTCGTTGCTCGGGTACAGCGTCACCGAGGCGAAGCGGAGGTAAGGCAGCTTCGGGGTTTCCTCCGGACCGATCTTTACGTGGGGGATCTGAGGGAGGAGGAAGCAGAGATGTTAATGCCAGTCGCCCTGTTTCTCTCATATCTTTACTCTTTGTGTTTCCTTTTAACGCACTCGTACACTCATCTGTCCCGGGTTTCATGTTTTCATGCTGCCTGTAAAAAGAATCTCCTCTTGTGGGACAATAAAGATCTGAACTGAATAAAGAAGAAAAAGATTGAAGAAGAAAAACAGTGGTGAGAATAAGAGGTGACGACATCAAGGGAACAAATATAAACTTAAAAAAAAAAACCAGTTCAACCCGTACGGGCTCTATGGCGAGTTCAGATAAGAGAAATGGAAGCTTTAATCAGACTCTGACGCTCGCTGATAATCAAGTCTTTGTTCAGTTTCAAAAAGAAATGATATTAGAAAAAGAGTTTCATGCAGAAATCACAGAGTTTGTGTTTCACCTCCACTCAGCTGAAACATTAATATCAAAGGATTCATTTATTTGTTTTAATGGCAGGAAGGTTTTTTTGGGGAGAGAAACTGAAAGAAAATGTAAATGTAAAGGTTCATGAATGTCTGTTCATCAGATTCTCCTGTACGAGAGAGAGAATGAAACAAACACTTTAAGATCCTTCATACTGTACGAACCCGAACCCAAGAGTCTCACAATAATCTCATCAAGCATGTTTTGTGTTAGAAAATATATCTGACTTTGTCTCAATAAGATATTACAGCTAATACTGAGCTCGATTTAACAAGTAACAACAATGGTTGCATAATATCTCAGAAAGTGCAGTTGTGGATTAACAGAAGTAACAACGGCGGCTGCTAAAGAGGTTAGCGTAGCTGCTGTTAGCATCCGTTCATCAGAACTGGAGAGAATTTCTTCACTGAAAGAAGAACAAAGAACGACACTGAAGACTTTTCTGTTTGGAAAAGATGTTTTCTCTCTCTTTTTTCTCTTCTCCCGACGGCTTCAGTACAAGTTTGACTGCGTTTATGGTTCATTGATCTGATTGGTTGACTGTTGCCTCTGTGATGGTTCGTTCAATCAGCTGCTGAGTATCTTTTTAAAACTGTATTAAACTATTGACTGCTTTTGTTTCACAATGTTTGTAAGTTTTATTTTGAAAATCTATCTGGATGTTGCATATTTATGGTTGAGCTGACGTCGCTCGTTTTGGCTCCTGATATAAATTCTGTTGCTTCAAACGTGTGGAAACCATAAAAGAAACTGGACTCCAGCAAATGAAAATGTCTTTGTACCTTAAAGAGTCTGAGAGCCATTAATTTGAGAGCATTTTAAAGCAGCTGTTTCAATTTAAACTCCACAGAGCAGAGATCCTGCGACTGACAGTGTCTGTATTTAAGCTGAAAAATTAATGAAACATGAAAAATGAATCTCTGCAGTGATGAATGAATAATCAGGTCAGAGGCCAAATGTCCTGTGTGATCGGACGCTCAGCGAGTTAACCTCGACTCGCACCTGCAGAGCTTTAAACAGTTAACTGTAATTAGCTCAGCTGGGCTCCGCTCTGATCTCAGAGCTTATTTTAAATCCGAGCAGAGAATCCAATAATGTGAGAGCTGTCAGGACGGAGGATCAGCAGAAGACGGACTCATGTACAAAACAGTTAAATCCTTACAAATAGAGACTTTATCAGAGGCAGTGACACTTTTTTAAACATTTAATCTGAGGAATGTTATATCTTTTTATGATCCATGAACTTTTACATCAGCTGCTACATCAAAATATAATTCATCATTTATTTATTTATTCAAAACACGGCAGACGAGACAGAGAGCTAATGTTACGTTAGGAAGACTCCAAGTCAATAACAAACAGTCAATATAATTTGACAGTTCAACAACAACACTAGCGAGCTATCAGTCGTGTTATTGTCCCCAAATTAAGATTTTCACTAACCAATTAAAGAACATGTGACTGTCTTGAACTTCTCACAGTCCTGAAAATTAATATGAAACACATCAATCATATCTTATGTAACAAGGCTGAATTAAAAATAACAGGACAATGTTTTTACAGTGTAACTAATCCTCTGGAGCCAGATGTGACTCACCTCTTTCTCCCCACAGATGTGACTGATGGTTGACCCGGAGGCGGGGCTGGAGGCGGGGCCAATCACTGAGACCACGCCCTTCGGCAGGATCTGACACACTGAAAACAACCAAAAACATTTAGTATTTAAACAGCTGCACATCCAGCTGTGTGCAGCTGTTTCCACTGAATATTGTCTTTATTATCATTATTTTCCTTTTTTATCTTAATTTTAACTGCATATTTCACTGTAAATGAGGGAAACCTCAATGATGCTCGAGACTTAAATAAAGGTTTAAATAATAATTCACTAACATTGTGGGGGTGTGAACTGGTTTCTATCTGAAGGGGGGGGCAGCTGGCAGATTGAAGTTGTTTATCAGTCAATTAAAAGTTCTGATTTCCATTTTTCTGCTTCACAACGTTGAGCTGTTTGTTTTTCTTTGTTTTTATGAAACAGAAGTAATTAAAGTGCTTTTCACTCAGGAGTGTTTCTGAGGAAAGATGAGCTCAGATCACAGGAAGGACGACATGAGACTGAATCTGGTTTCACTTGTTTGATGGACACAGATCAGATTGTTTCTCCATGAATGCACCAATATGGATGTTTCCATTACTGTGCTGAGGTCTGTATGTTCGTCCATGCACATAATGTGTGTGTGTGTGTGTGTGTGTGTCGCTCTGACAGAAGACATTAACTGCCTCTCTACCGGGAACTCTCTCTCTTTCTCTTTCCCTCTCTCTCTGATCAATAAACATCAACCACGGCCGCTCGTGCAGAACGCCGCAAGCTCTCCGGTCACGTTGACCTCGGCTTTACACCCGTCGTTACACCCTGAACGTGCAACGGGCCGTTTCCATGGTAACACCTGAGGGTCTGACTAATACCTGGAGGAATAATTACCATCCCATAATGTTCTAATGCAATGGAAACGTTGCTCCAGTAAATAGGACGAACCTCAAATACGACTTGCCAACAGGAGATATTTCTAGTTCCCTCCGAAAGCTAACAATATGCTAATCAGGCACAAAGACAAATAACTAGAGGTTTAATGGTATTTGTTTGAGTGTCGGGCTGCACATGTGACCAGAGTTATGTAACCATGTTCCTACGGTGGCAAATACACATACACAAGTTGACTGTAACTGTAACCACACAATCAAATAGACTTGGCTATAAATACGTAGCTAAGCTAACTTTCACTTTCTTCCATATTTACGTATTTCCTGTAGAAACAGGCAGTTAGGGAGGAACCTGTCGCAGTAGCCAACAGCGCTGTGTGTTACGTCCCCCCAGGACCACCCCAGCTAGCTAGCAGTTAGCCAACGGCAGCTACATTAGCAGCTAACTAATTAATGAATCTTCACTCTGTGTCACTAACAGCTGAAGATTGATTGACGGGTGAATGTTTTTTCCCAAGGATATTATGTTGAAATCAGCTTTAGTTCATGCTTGAAGTGAAGCAGCGTCACATTTAGTTTCACAGGAATTTTGATATAAAAATAAAAAGAAATTAAGTTTTTGTAGCTTTAGCACAAACTGTTAAACAATAAAACTGAGGATGCAGTTTGTATCCGATGTTACACAGTCGGAGTAAATGTTGGTCATTCGGTGGGTCCAGGTGATTTATATCATCGATTACAATGCCTGGCGGTATTTTTAAGCACCTTTAACTCGTGGTTGTAACGTCTGGCTCTGTTGAACTTGTTTGTTATTTAAAGAGCAGCTTCAGTGAGTGAGGAAGAACCACTTGCAGCTGCCGCAGTATTGACCCGCCTTGTTAAATAAAGGTTGATGCTTTATCGCTCTGCTTCCTCACACAGAGCCACCGACTGAAGTTTACCTTCACTGAAAATGTCAGAGTGAAGAGCAGCTGGGAGGAAGTGAAGAAGAGGAAGAAGAGGAAGATGAGGAGAGGACGGTAACTTACTGGTTTCAGTGGTGTCGTACTGGGAGTCCTTCTGCAGCTCGTAGACGTCCACCTCCACCCTCGCCCGGGAGGAGCCCTCCATCAGACTGTTGATGTTCTCCCTCGCCAGAGCCAGCGCCAGACGCTCGCCGCGACCACACACTGACTGATCATCCAGAATGGCCGCTGGAGGCAGAGAGCGAAAGGTTCAATGAGTGAAGACGATAAATGAGGTTTTATTCATACGGAGGTCACCTGACTCCTCCTAATCGCCAACTGTTTGGTTTCATTTCTAATTTCCTGCACGTAGACATGTGCTAAGCTAATCTATGTTGAAAAGACAAACTCATTTTGGACACGGTTAAAAGATCAGAAAGGTTAGCTAAAATTATTAGCTAACTTAAGATGTGACTATATATTATCGCTTTTATCTTTTAACCTTTTTAGTATGTGTTTGCCTTTGCCATTGACAGATTAGCTTAGCATATAGCATATCTAAGTACAGTAAAGGAGGAAGTTGACTGAGGCTTGATGAACTGTTATTGGAGCTGAGGAAGGACGCAGCGAGAATCTATTTTAGTTTCTTGTTTAGTTCAGGCCAAATATTACAGAATAAAGTCGATTTCTCCATTTTATTTATATATTTTATTTTTCATATTTGCCTTGTTTGTCTTCCACGGTTATTTCAGGGCAGACAAATGTTTTTATTGTCGTGTGGTGGAGAAACTTCCCATTGATCCTACTCCCATCCCTGTATTAGCATTTTCTGTTTGGCTGAGCAAACATTGCCCTACAGCTATAATCCTGACAGCCAATGGGCTATTTATACACACCTCCTCATCCCAGAGTCCTCAGCTCCTTACTGACTTCCTCACTAACCTGCACTGACAACATTTCCATTGTTTTGATGGACAAAGGAACCATTTAGGAGGCTGTTTTTGGCATAAAACTGTGAATTAGATTAGACCTACGTTCTGTCTAGACGGCTGTAAGTGATCTCAACTTATCTCCATTAATATAGCAGCTCTGAATTAAGGATTTATTTCCACCAAATTGTTGGAAAGACTAACAAAGGTGCTTTTTGTGAGTTTTATTTTGTTTCTGTCCACTTCTAATGAGGTTAAAATTAGCATCTTTGTCAATGGAATCTGGCTGTTTATGGCAGGAGAAACTAACTACATCCAGTGTTTGGTTTGTCTGTTCTACTGTAGAAACGTGGTCAAGTCAACTTGGTGGACACCAGAAGAGGAGCTGCTCGCTCTGTAGATAAAAACGTATCATTAGGTAACGAAAACGGTTTTCAGGTGATTACACACTGATGAAAACTTATTTTATTCTATTTCTGCTGTTTTCTGTAAATGCAACCTCCACAATCTGACCCACTGGACCTTTAAGTTGAGTTCTGAATGCAGGATGGAGTATTTGTACATGTCTGTATTACTGTTTAGGATCTGAATACTTGCTGCATCACTCGGGTGCTTCATTTAAAGTCTGAACACACTGCTAACGAGTGCAAGGATACATAATCCAGATACAAACCGCCTCCTACTACAGGTGTAAGTGGGACACTCGTGATTGGCTCTCAGCCAGGTGAAACACAACCTGACGAACCAGAAATAGATTTGACTCTTGGAGTTAAACAGGAAGTGGAGCGCTCACAGCAGCTGCAGCGAATAAAAACCACTCATCATTGTTTCTATTTCCTGCCTCTAGGAAAGACAGAGCTCCCGGTGGCGGCGTACAGTAACACCTGCCGTGTTTATTTTCGTCGCCGCCTCCCCGCTGAATGTTTGAATATTGAACAGGCTGAAAAATGAAAAAGGAAACTCTGCATGGAAAGTGCATCCAGTGGAGAGCCACCTTTTAACCACAGAGGAAGAGGAGGAAGAAATAATCTGTTAAATTCAACTTTAATACTGTTTAAACTAAAACTATGTAAAATGAGTGACAATTAAAGTATTAGTTGTGTAATTTGACAGGATTAGTTAGTTAATTGACAGATATCTTGTATAATTAATTACAACACAAACGTTGAATAAATGT